GTTTCATTACAAGAGCACTAAAGTATCGTTCTAAAAATCCAACTTCAGTTTCATTTAACAATATACACTCAATATGTAAGATTACTATTCAGTTTCATTTTATACACAATATAGTTTCATTATGACACCACTAAAGTATCATTATTATTCAACTACAGTTTCATTCGACAATATACAGCCAATATGTGATCTGTTATTCAGTTTCATTATATATCCAATGTAGTTTCATTACAGGCTTACAGCACTATGAAAGTATCATTCTAATTCAACTACAGTTTCATTTAATAATATACACTCAATACGTGAAACCTGTTATTCAAGTTCATTTTATACACATTGTAGTTTCATTACAGCATCACTAAAAAAAAAAAAAAAAAAAAAAAAAAAAAAGTGCTATGTAGAACGTAACGACGGCAGTTTTTTTTCATTAAAGAAAAAAAAAACGGTGCCCTTTTAACTTTGTAAACCATTGTCCACTGTATAACGATTGCACTAACTGAGAATGTACACGGGATAAACTACATTTTTATAAAATAGCCTACAAATCACATATGAGAAGTAAATCACACTAAGAAAATCATGTCATAAGCTTGACATGAAATCATGTTTCACTCATTCGGCTATCCCTTTCCACGTTGTTGTCTTATCATGATGGAGAACCTAAGGAATTGTGGACTAGGATTAATGCATAATATGACAAATTGGGCTAACCCATAGTTGTGAGTACAGCCCAAAAGAATGTTTTTTCTTTTCTTCTTCTCAAACTTCATCCTGTGACCAACTGAGCTGTCTACATGAGAATATTTTTTCTGTTTTGACGGGCTAAGTTGTGGATGGGATAGAATCCGTTGTGAACCTCATCGATCGGCCCCATCCAGCCTCCAGTCAGGTTAGGATCATGTGTTACCACTTACGCCAAAAGTTATAGCTAGTAGTGAATGTGCAACTTACTTTCTTACTTATAAACCGTCTTGTTCCAGACATGCTGGGGTTGCTAGGTGCTGAACATGACTTTTAAGACTTTACCGACCTCCGCCCAACAATCCATTAGTCACCAAGTACTAGACAACCCTGCCCAACAAGCCACCTGTCGTCTATGTTGTCATTAGTTACGGTGGCTGATTGTAAGTATCAGGTTTGACCCTGCACTGCACATGGCGACTCTCTTGATCTCCCACCAAAAAACACATCAACTTATTATTATTATATCATTCAGGTTAGGTGTGCTGCTTTGAACCTTCCCTGCAATGGCTTTCTTCGATCATGTGTGACGCTGTCCTCCTGTGTCGGATTGGTTGCAGAACAGAAAAGGAGGACATCTGTGATTAGTTTAGGCGCAAGAATACAAAAGAACAGACAGGAAGACGAAGAATGCATGGAAGGTGAGGTGCGTAACGGTCACTGCACCTGCACATTTTAAATTGCTTTCGCAGATCAGATCTCAACCGCCCACTTGTAGTTTTAATTTAGTGGTTTACTGAACACATATACATTATCTCACCCACTAATTTAGGTACTCCTCAATCCAAATTCCAAAGTCAATACAAACAACTAAAAACCATGTCAGTTGAATTGCCATATGGGATGGAGAATTTAGATTTATAAACATGATATAATTATTTAGAAAAATTCTATAATGTCAAGCAAGAAGCTCGAAGAGTTGTCTTGGCAGCCATAATATTTCAAATTTAATTTTGTGTGGGGATTGTCTGTTGACTTTTTTGGTTTGAGTGGTTAACTGTGAGCAACGACGAGCCATAAGGCCAACTTCATCTAAAACGGCTCTTCGAGTAGCACTAATGAGCTTTCCCATCAATCTAAAGAAGTAACAGGCTATTTAGTTGAATGTAATTTTCTTGCAACTGAATTGAAATTTGTTGAAACCCTAAATATTAATTACATTGGTTAAATATTACGAAATATATGTCTTATAAAATATCTCTAGCATCCCAATTTGCTAAATAAATAAATAAATAATTGGTTTTTTGATCTGCTGATTTTTTTTAAAAATAATTTTTTTTTTTTTTTTAAAAACTAGTGAGCTCTATCACCAACATTGTCTAGCGGGTGCATGCATTGCATGTGACCACTGGGAGTGTTGGGGGGTCGCCAGCAAACGACCACCTTGCTTCTTCTTTCTTTCTTCATTTTATCTCTTTGTCAAGTGACTTGACAAAACCCAAAAACATCCCAAACCAATAACCATGCTCTAATAAGATCAAATTGAGCTGTCTTTATCCATCCCTCACTTCATCTTTAATTTATGTGGCCGGTCACATCTAGTTTAGTCGTACTCATTTCTTAGCTCTGTGATTCTATAATCTCGATACGTTCGTACCATCGCAATATATAAAAAAAGATTATGGTTGATGCTAGAAAGACTAGGCAGTGTAATTTGACTGTACACACTATTTGCCAGCCTAAGAAAACCAAATGGTTACCTATAAAGCTAGAAGTCAATAATTTGGTGCATTATTATGGCGTTGAATAATTGATTTAGGAATGTATTTACTCACAAAATGGGCAATCAAATTGACAAGTTGAGATGAGGGATGAGTATTGTGTCATTTCATGTCCAATATGGTGGGTCTTTATACATCTTCAATCATATATTTTTTTCTTCTTCCCCGCCGCTGTCGTTTTGCTCTTTGGCTCTTTACTCAGCTCGTCGTTTTGGATGGGGCCCTACACACCTGATTAAGTGCAAGTAACAATTATATTGCAGCTGCAAATGGCATTAAGCAATAATAATAACAGTAATAGTAAGACCAAACATAATTCTATGATTTTGAATTATATGAAGTCAATGTTTAGCTGTTTTGTTCCTTTTTCATTAGTAAACTTTGTCACTTTCACCAAAAATTGATGTGTTCTTTTTTCTTCTGTTGTTAGTGGCGCATAGTAAAGTAATTTAAAATCAAGATTATCTGTCATAAAATAAATTAATTAAAAATATACAATGTTTTGCACAAGAAAGGAGTTTACCCGGTGTACACCTTCAGATAGTGGTTGCATTGCAGGTTTTCCTCGTCAACCAAAAAATATATATACAATGCTTCACACACAAAATTGTGTCAGCGTCTGTAGTGTGGAAATTATGCTTAAAGTGAACAGATCCCTTGTGTGCACTGGTATTTGGCCCTGTTTGTTGAGCTATTGAATCACCGTGATTTACACCCTCCCAAATGCTTTGTCGTATCGGGGTGTGTGGAGTTTAGGATTGGGGATTCAACTTTTTGAGAGAAGAAAATATTCTATCAATGTCATAAATAACATCATCTGGGGATCAAAACTTTGACCTAAATTATACTTTTCATTAAAAAGTAGAGATTAAGTTTAATGAAACAAACAAATGACAACATAATTGTACTTGTTATCCAATAATATTATACTCTCTTGTATTATTAATTAAAGATAATAAAATACAATATCTATAAACCAAAAAAACAACCAAGGCAATCATACACCTTAAGGGGGCGTTTGGTTCAGGTTATATAAGATAACCAAGGGAATGTGACATTCCAAAGCTCACATTCCGGTGTTTGGTTCATATTATCTCAGGGAATCTAACATTCCCAAGGAATGTCACATTCCCTCCACATAGGATTTTGAAGGGAATGTGATTCCCTTCAAAATCTTAGGTAATCTAAGATAACCTTGGTTATGTTAGTTATATATATATATATATATATATATATATATATATATATATATATATATATATATATATATATATATTTGTAATTATATATATATATATATTTTTATTTTTATTATGTTATGTTAGTTTATAAAATAATTTTGTTTCTCAAGTTCAAGATTTTAGTTAATATTTTAAAATCATGTGATTATATATGATACCGTTATCTTATTTATTTATTTTAATTTTTAAATTTATTAAAATATATGAAAATATGTTAAGGATATTATAGTGTGTATAAAAGATAACCCTAAACCAAACATCATTATATTACATACCCCAATTTTAACCAAACACAGGAATCTAACATTCCCAGTAATCTAACATTCCCAGCAATCTAACATTCCCTAAGGTAATCTTACATTCCGTGAACCAAACGACCCCTAAGAATTTTCAAAGATACACCATCCTTCTCATAATAACAAGAATAGTTTTTCTTTTCCTCTCAAAATGAATAGTTGAATCACTTGAATGAATAAAATATGATTCTCGTACTTGAAAGTTGAAATTCACAAATTCGATTCATGCCAAGATTCTTTCAGTTGAACCCAGAGTAAAGACTTCTCTTTTGTGATTTGTAGGTTAGTACATATAAGTGGAAAAAAATATTATTTTAACTCTAATTTCATCCCGTGTCATTCTTTCATTTAGAGTTAAATTAAAATATAAATAAATAAGAAAAGAAAGTGTTTAAAATATCATACTTTTATTTTGGTATTTTTGTGTATTATTTTTCGTATTTGTGTTATCTAGAATTGAAAGAAACTAGAAGTCAATAATTTATGGAATTTGTATCTTATTTCTTTTCTATTACCAATTATTTATCCTAGATTAACTCGACCAAATAGGAACTAGAATAACTATGCTTGCCTCGTTAATCTCATTCAAACCCTTTTCACAGTCTCACACAAAGTCAAGGCATCTTGGAAGGGGGTGATGATTGGGTTTTAGTGGTTTTGCCGGGGTAGTTGGGTCTTTCTGCCTGCATTAACGGCTATATTTTCAGTGCTCCAGCTCCCAAGAAATGCCCCTCTTCTGCAGCCACGTGACACCAACAAACCCCTATTTTTCCGCCCAGTTTTGTTCTCACTTGGCGGGAAACCCCCTTCCTGTGGCCCCCACTGTTAATAACACCTCCAACTCATTTCGTCAGATACTCAGTCACTCTCCCCTGAGCCGGTCCCACGCACGGCGAGCAAAAAAAAAAAAAAAAAAAAGTAAAATCTCATACCAATCCCGGCCGACACGGCGTGACTGTGCCTTGTTATTTCAAGAACAGAAAGATTCAAACACCAATAAATAAATTAATAAAATTGAAATTCAAAACTGTTGAATTGAAAAAACTAATTTTTTTTTTTTTTTGGGGTTGAAAATTTTCCCTCCAGGAATTACACATACAGCCAAAAGAATTGGAAGGTTTCAGGCGGGGGACGGTTGGCAGGTGGGATCGGCGGAGGAAGGGATGTCCGGTCCGAACCGGCAACCTTCGAGCATGAACACAATGTCGGTCATGGTGGGACGGTTAAGGGGATCAGGAGCGGTGCAAAGCAATCCAACTTTGATCCCTAACAAGAATTCTTCCCATTCTGAGGATTCAGGGTCCAGCTCCAACAATCCTGGTTCTAGCAACTCCGAGATTTGGCCTCTCTGCAATTGCCTCTTCACCCACTTCACAATGTCTTCACTTTCCGTGAACATCACCGGCCGTTTTCCGGTGAGAAGCTCGAGTAACACAATCCCGAAGCTGTACACATCTGATTCTCTCGTGGGTTCGCCCGTTAGTGCGGCTTCAGGTGATACGTAGCCTAGGGTGCCAACCGGGGTTGAAGTAGAGGGCTGTGATGGAGGAGCAGCCACTGTCACTGTGAGCTTGTCTAGGCCAAAGTCTGCTAGGTGAGCTTCAAAGTCTGCGTCGAAAAGGACATTTTGGGGCTTGATGTCTCCATGGATAATTGAGGATGTGTGAAGGAAAGCGAGGCCTCGGGCAATGCCTAGCGCGATGAGATGGCGCATTGGCCAGTTGAGAACGTGGCCGTCTTGGTGGGATGCTTCTTGCAGCAATGTGGCAAGGTTGCCGTTGGGCATGTAGTCATACACTAGGAGCCGGAGGTCCGGGGGGCCAGCATAGTAGCCCCGGAGAACTGTTAGGTTCCTGTGTTTCACCCTGCCTAGCGATTCCGCCTCTTTCCTGAACGTGTTTTCGTCTAGTGATCCATCCGGGAGCCTGCGGACCGACAGCACCATTCCATCGTTGTAACACGCCTTGAAAACCACCCCGTATCGCGTCCTGCTCAGCACGTTTTCCTCGTCAAACTGCCTCGTGGCTTCTATGGTTTCGGCTAATGTGATCTTGTTGTTGAACATAACAAGCTTTGGTCCACCGTTTTCGCTGCTGAGACGACCCCCGCTGGTTCTTGAACTAGCCCTTGCAGGGCTGTGTTTCTTTTCCCCAGCTGCTGCCTTCTCTTTGAGCTTATTGCGCCACCTCAACAAGCTGTAGGTGTAGAAGCAACAACATGATGCTAGGAGAAGAGCTCCACTTGCAGCTATGGCTATCAACATAACCAGCCTATTCCCTTTACCATCACCACCTCCCTCACATTCTTTGCTCAAGGGTTTCCCACACAAACCTTGATTGCCAGTGTAATCTGATGGGTCGTTAAGACGAGACCCCAACTTCAAAGGAATCTGACCAACCAGCTTGTTGTTCGACACATTGAAGTTTGCCAAGTTCGAAAGGAGAGTAAGATTTTCTGGGATCTCTCCGGTCAGGTTGTTACTGGACAGATCCAAGATCACTAAATTTGATAGGTGGGATAATGACTCTGGTATGTGACCGGAAAGATGATTCGAGTCTAGTACCAGTGAAGTTAAGGATGAACAATTCGAGATGTCTACTGGGATTTCACCTGTAAAATTGTTGTGACCCAAATCAAGGATCCTCAAATGGGAAAGATGAGAAAGATCAACAGGGATTTGACCACTCAGAGAATTGGAATGCAAGCTCAGTACTTCAAGAACAGAACAATTACCCAACTCAGGAGGAATCAAGCCAGAAACTCGATTGTTAGACAAGGAAAGAACAACTAATGACTTCAAGAAGCCAAAAGTAGAGGGAATGGGACCAAAGAATGAATTGGAAGATAGGTTCAAATACTGCAAACCCAATAAGCTACTGAAACCTTCAGGAACTTCACCAGATAACCTGTTCTCCTGCAATGCAATCACTTGCAGGTTAGGCAAACCAGAAAGATCAAATGGCAATTCCCCAGATAAATGCTGCCTACTCAAATCAAGAGCTTTTAACTTGTACAGACTACCAATACTGCCAGGAATTCTCCCCGAAAAACCATTGCTACTCAAATTCAGAACAGACAGCTGCTGTAAGTTCCCAATGCTGACAGGAATACTCCCAGAGAACTTGTTTGAACTGAGGTCCAGTGTACTCAAGTTGCTCAACGCCATTATCTCCTCCGGCAAGGTTCCGGTGAGAGCATTGCCTCCCAAGTCCAGATTCCCAAGATTAAGCAAATCACCAAAACTTGAAGGAATTGAACCATTAAACTGGTTTCTACCCAGTGACAAACTCGTCAAGTTTCTAAGCTGACCTAAGAATGCAGGAATGCCCCCGTTCAAGTGATTTCCTCCAAGATCAAGGATCTTCAAACTAGTGCAGTTAGTGATCTCAACAGGAATGACACCCTCAAACGAGTTATTCGCCATTTTCAATTCCTCCAATGCCCATAAATTTCCAATGGCACCAGGGATTTTGCCGGAAAAGGAGTTTCCAGAAACATCTAGAGAAGTTAATGAAGAATTGTTTGTCAAAAACAGGGGGAAATTGCCGTGAATGCTATTCTGCTGGAGATCCAACATTTGTAAAGTAGTCAAACACAGAGATGATTCAGGTGGTACAATATCTGTGAATGCATTAAAACCTAGCTGAACAATCCGAATAGATGGAGGATAAACCGAGACACTGCAGAACATCGAAGCCGGTATTGAACCAGAGAGGTTGTTATGCGATAGAGATATCACCTGAAGCTTCGGAAGCGCTCCGATGGCGGCGGGAATGACGCCGCTGATTGTGTTGCCTTGGGCGTTAAGATGCACCAGCGATGAACAGTTGGCGATTGCGGAGGGCAGAGTCCCTTCCAATTCGTTGTCCGCAAGCCAGAGGTACTGAAGCTGCTGGAGCTCTCCCAAGCTCGCCGGAATCTCGCCGGACAAGCGATTGCTCGAGAGGTTAATGTACTGGAGCTGCGAGAGGCTCGAAATGTTCCTCGGTATCTCTCCGGTGAAAGAGTTGGAAGAGAGATCGAAGTAGCGGATACTCTGCGGGAGGTCCCCGGGGATGCCGCCGGAGAGCTTGTTCCCGGCGACATTGAAGATTTTCAGGCCGGCGAGCTTCGAAATTTCCGGCGGCATTCCGCCGGAGAACGAGTTGTACTGCAGAAAAACAGAATTCAGGAGCGAGCATTTCGCGAGGGAGGAAGGAACACTCCCGTTGAATGAATTGGAGCTGATGCTCAGCTTACGTAGCAACCGGAGATTAGCGATTTGCGGGGTAAGCGGGCCGCCGAGCTGGCGCCGAGGGAGGTTGAGTTCACTCACGCGACCATTCTCACATTTCACGCCGCCCCAGTCGCAGGGAGCCGCCGGCGACGACGAGTCCCAGTCGGCGAGCGCGTCAAGCGGGTCGTGAACACTGAGCTTGAAAGAGTTAAGCGCCTGGATCTCGGCTAGGTTCTCGGCGCTGCGCTGGGCGGCGCATGCACAGGAAACAAGAACAATACAGAAAATCAGTGCAGGGAAGATGGAAGACATGGATGGAAACGGTATCATTTCAGGTCTATAGTCTATACTGAGAACCAAGGGAAACAGGTAGCCATACTCATAGATACACACACAACCTCTCTCTCTCTATATCTGTGTATGTAAAGCTTTCTCTCTCTAGAGAACAGAGCAGAGAAGCCCGAGAGTGATGAAGTATTTGTGTGATATTGTTAATGGTGATTATGGGTTGGCACTTTTAACCTCTTATGGGTCGAATCATTGGGCCCTCATGTGAACTTATCCACGCCTAAAAAGAGGAAAAATAAAATCCTTTAACAGGAAAATAAATAAACCATGTTTGACAACCTTTTCAAGCAAAACAGTAACCTTACCCGAAAATGTTACGTGTACTTTCATTTTATACTTTTAATTTGTATTTTTTCATACAAAATCTAGAAATAGACATTTATATTAAAATTTACATAAAAAAATAGCTTATCAGAGCCCGTTACATTAAGAGTGATATTTGAGAATACATATAGTAAAACTCAACATTACCACATAGTATGAAATTGACGTGTTGTACTGTGTACAAATGTACAGTATTCACAAAAATCATACTCCAAGTCTCCAACTCCGGTTAGTGGTTTAATTAATGATAACTACTCTATATATCGTTAATCCTGACTCACATTGTAAGGTATACCATTTATACATGTTCATTTTTAACATATTGTACTGCAAGTTAATTTTGAGTGCACTATATGTTTATTTTTAGGTAGTACAAAAAAAAAAAAAAAAAAAAAAAAAAGTTATACGATACATTAAAAATGAACATGTACCAAATATAACACGCCCACTAAAAATAAATAAACATGTAGTACAATAAAAACGAATATGCATTATACTAAAAATAAAAATGTATATTAGTGATTCAACTTACAATGTAACTCATGGTCCACGATCGCATTGTTCTTCAGCTTACTTGAGTCGTTTTCGCATAAATTGTTTTGACGTATTTCATGTAATAAAATCATATTGTAATATAATTTCAAGACATAATTTTTTTTATAAAGTAAGATGGTTTTTTTTTTTTTTACAACATATTGTATTTAGTGTAGATTTATATCTGTTGACTCAAAGTGTTTTGTCAAAGTTGTGCAAAAAGAATTCCAGTTCTATAAAGGAATATCAGTCATAAGAGGAATAGCTAATTAAGAATACTAGTTCTAAAGGGAATTGTTATTGAAATTTTTCTAGTTCTAGTTTGATTAGGAATAGCTTTGTTATTCACGAATATGTTAGGAGTAGTTACTATAAATAGGGATTGCCCTTTATTGTAGAACTCAGGCATTCAACATTGATCTTGTGAGGTATGGGAGTTTTTGAGAATATGATACTAAATTTCCCTAGAAAGTAGTACATGTGTTTAGGTTTCAATAGTTTGGTAGGAATGATCATTCTATTGTGTAATCTCAGGTTCCCAACAATGTACTTTAAATATTGAGCTTTTAGTGGATTTAGGCAAGTTCTCAAATTGAGAAGTGCCTCGCAGATTAGGGTTGTTTGCCCAAACTGCGTTAGAGATCGTTTGTGTTACAACGTCAGTTTCGAAATCACTGTGTGCTGCGCTCTACAAATTTTCAATTGGTATTAGAGCCAAACTACTTAAGTTACTAGCAGAATCCTAATGCAGTTTCCAAGATAAGGACTATCAAACACAGAAGGGATACAATGCTATGAGTGCAAAGGGTTTGGACACATCCAGTCAGAATGTTCAACATACTTTAAAAGGAAGAACAAGACATACATGACGACATTAAGTGATGACTCAGACAGTGAAGAAGACACCAACACCAATTTCGTAGCATTCACCGCAAATCATGAAAATAACAACCGAGAAGATGTACAAGAATTACTAGAGGCATATACTCAACTACATGCCAAATGGGAACAAATCATCAAAATAAATCTAGATCTCATGGAAGAAAATCAGTTTCTAAAAGATGAAAAAGATATAGGAGAAAAACGCCTTAAAGATACCCAGAATGAATTAATGGAGTCGAAAGGCAGAGAGGCCAAACTGTTACAAGAGATCAAGGAACTAACTAAGAGGCCTAGATCTCCAAATCCAGCATCCAATGAAAGTCATTCTTCTGAAATTCCTGAAGTGTCGCAACATCACTTCCAACACCGAAGGAGGATCAGATGCTATTACTGTCACAGACTAGGGCACATAAAAGCATATTGCTTCAAAAGACAAAATGATATGTATTACAGACAAATCAACAGAGATTGGTCAGTACAAAGCAAGAAAATCTGGGTAAGAAAATATCAGAATGTTGCCTACACCTCAAAAACTAGCAAAGAACAAAACGTATGGTATTTTGACAGCGGGTGTTCAAGGCATATGACAGGAAATCCAGAAAATCTGGAAAACATTCAGTATAAGAATGAAGGACATATTACCTTTGGAGATGGAGGAAAAGACCAGATCATTGCAAGTGGCACCTTGAATGTCCTTGGGCTGCCTAGGTTGCCAAAAGTCCTTTTAGTACAAAGTTTAAAAACAAATCTAATCAGCATAAGTCAGCTTTGTGAAGATGAACTCAAAGTAGAATTCTCTAAAGACAATTGCACTGTGTTTAATCAGAATCACAACTGTGTCATGATGGGAAAAAGGTCCGCAAACAAATGCTATACATGGAATGATGACCTATCTGGTTTACAGACAACTAACAAGCAAAAACAATCACGGCACCAACATATGGGACACATAAATTCTCATGACATCAAATGGGACCAAGAAATATTCCTAGACTATTCAAGTTATTCATCAAACAGTAAGACTTTCAGTGCAGACAGTACAATGGAATCCATGAATGTGGTTATTAATGACACAATTTCAAAAATAACCACTAATGATGACGAAAGTCCCAGAGTTGTTGAAACAACTGTTCCAACACCTCTGACTACTGTTATGCAGAATCACAAAACAGAAACAGAACCAGATGAAGAAAAGGATGATGGCTCTGCAACGATCATTATGAGCCCTGTTCCGATTTCACAGGAACCCTACCAAAATATTCAAGACGAACGCGAACCACCTCCAATCTGTTTGTGCGAGACAGCCCTGGAGGGCGATGGTGGTATGGCGGTTGCAACAGAGCGTTTTTCGGCGATTATTATGTCACAGGAAATTGGAGAAATTCCAGTTTCGTCTAGGTTATCCCATGAAGATAAGATCAGATATTTTAGAGATCATTTTGAAGAGCTTTCACCGGATTTTGTGCTATTTCCAGAAATTAATGATGGCGCAGAATTAGTACGTTCGAAATTTCGGTCAGGAAATCTAGATGCGATTGTAAGGCAGAAGAGACCGATTGATTGAATCTCAGTGGATTCATGTTTGCATGGCCAGAATACATCTCCGATTAAAAGAATTCTCGACAGATTGTCTCAGCTTTGGCGTCGCGCTCCTCCGATGTTCACTTTCCCTTCGGGATGTCGCGGTTGAGGAGAAGTGATGAAATCAAAGGCGTTGGTGGTAATAACATAGGAAGAATAAATCAGATGAGAAATTAGCTGTGATAGGCTGATATAATTGGGATTTTTTTAAAACAAATCATACTCAACGATAGCACTCACCAATAATAGATATACATGGAATCATTTAAGGGGGAGATGAGTCAAAAGTCAAAGTTTTTTTTTACATGGAATCAATTAAGGGGGAGATGAGTCAGAAGTCAAAAGCTTTTTGTGGAATCAAGGTTTTTGCCAAAAATTTGACAAAGGGGGGGAATGTTGACTCAAAGTGTTTTGTCAAAGTTGTGCAAAAAGAATTCCAGTTCTATAAAGGAATATCAGTCATAATAGGAATAGCTAATGAAGAATACTAGTTCTAAAGGGAATTGTTATTGAAGTTTTTCTAGTTCTAGTTTGATTAGGAATAGCTTTGTTATTCACGAATATGTTAGGAGTAGTTACTATAAATAAGGATTGCCCTTTATTGTAGAACTCAGGCATTCAACATTGATCTTGTGAGGTATGGAAGTCTTTGAGAATAGGATACTAAATTCCCCTAGAAAGTAGTACATGTGTTTAGGTTTCAATAGTTTGGTAGGAATGCTCATTCTATTGTGTAATCTCAGGTTCCAAACAATGTACTTTAAATATTGAGCTTTTAGTGGATTTAGGCAAATTCTCAAATTGAGAAGTGCCTCGCAGATTAGGGTTGTTTGCCCGAACTGCGTTAGAGATCGTTTGTGTTACAACGTCAGTTTCGAAATCACTGTGTGCTGCGCTTTACAAATTTTCAATATCATCTTCTAATTACTTTAACAAATGAAGATACTCCATGTATTACTAATATAATATTTTTCTTTTATTTTTTGAGACATGTCGTGTATGAATACTAAATGGTGTAGGGTCAAGGTTTGATTTGAAGTTAAAGTGATAAAACAAGTGAACTGTGAAAGGTTGGTTTGTTAGCTAGTCATCTTCATAGCTTTTAAAGAACTGAGAAAATTATCTATTTTAAAAAATAATAATATAATGGATCCCATTGTATGTATAATGTAAACCTTGCTCATGCGTTAATGTCGCATTAAGGGGTGTTTGGTTGGCATGAATTGCAATTCAATGAAATGATAAACTACATTGTTTGGTTGAAAAGAAATACAATTCTATGAAATTACAATTCCCTCAATTCATTGAATTCATTCATACAACGAAAAGGGAAAAATGAAGGAAATGACATATTTGCCATTGAAAGTTATTATTAATATGGAATAAGGGTCAAATAGGCCATCGAACTGCACAAGATAATGCAATTAGGCCACTGAACCTAAAAAATCAACAATCGTGTCCCTAAACTAACCAATTTCAAACAAATCTTCCAATTTGTAGGTTTCCAACAGGTTAACAGGTCATCCTCCTAAATTAATTATTTTTAAAAAAATAAAATTTAAAAATTAACTATTTAATTAATTTAAAAAAAAAAAAAACAGAAACGGCCGGAGACGAAGAAACTTCTTCGTCTTCGGCCAGTTTCTTCGTCTCCCCGGCCGGAGACGAAGATTTCTTCGTCTCCGGCCATGGAGACGAAGAGTTTCTTCTTCTCCATGGCTGGAGACGAAGAAACTCTTCGTCTCCATTGCCGGAGACGAAGAAACTCTTTTAAATAATTTTTTTAAATATTTATTTAAATTAATTAAATAATTAATTTTTAAATTTTATTTTTTTAAAAATAATTAATTTGGGAGGATGACCTGTTAACCTGTTGGAAACCTACAAATTGGAAGATTTGTTTGAAATTGGTTAGTTTAGGGATCCGATTGTTGATTTTTTAGGTTCAATGGCCTAATTGCATTATCTTGTGCAGTTCGATGGCCTATTTGACCCTTATTCCTATTAATATTATTACACAATGGTAGTTTAGTCTTTATATCACTTCTCTCATTTCCATTATTTCTCCCACCAAACAGTGTAATTGTAATTCTTACTTTATTTTCACCTTATTCTTTTCCCACTGAATTACAATTCATTTCGCCTTTAATTCATTCCTTCCAACTAAAATCTTGTGTTTTTAACCCCTTTTTATTTGCAATTCAATACTTTGGGTGCAAAAAGGCAAAATCATTCACCCTACATCTCGACGACATACAAGAATTATAGATGAGTTAAATCACGATGATTTAACATCTCTTAAATATGAGATTAATATCCGGTGTCCACAATAAATCACTCTCACAAAGCCACAAGATAATAACACTTTAACACTGTAATTATCAAGATTTGATCATGCGTCCTTAAATATAATCGATCGCCTGAAAATCAATTAAGATATGCATGAGGGCCACTCCAACCTTTTTTGCCCTAGGAATCTAGGATTGGTGAGTAGAGCTAGTGTGGCTTTTGGTACTTTTCAGAGTGGGTGGTCAAACTAGGTGAAAAATAAATAAATAAATAAATAAGAGGCAAAAAAGCTTAAACCAAATCCAAAGTCACGGATTTGTGTTTGAATATAATGCCAAGCCGCATTCCGCAAGGGCAAGGCCCGCAACTTCAAAAATATGCTCCCCGCAATTTCAGTACATTAATTTCGACGATATTTTTTTAAAATTATTGGTTAATTAAATATAACACTTTATGATATTTATTCATAAACTATTATTATTATTATTATTATTGTTGTTGTTTGGTCCATTAGGGTACCCCATGGTGGGGCTAAGGACCGCGCTAGCAAATCTTAAGTAACAAGGTTGACTATTATTATAATATAATTTAAATGATGATTAAAGTATCTTGATAGAGTTATTGTTCAAAAGTCTAACTAATCGTTCTAATTTGACCGGTTTGGGTGAATAGATTTAGTCAATAAGATTGTGGATGTTATGGGTTGGTGAGAGTTGACACTATCAATAACTTATAAGAAGCAAAAGATTGTGGTAAACAAAATGTTACATTCGTAAAAGGGTAGTGTTTCCGTCAATCATATCATCATGAAACTTTTTTTTTTTTTTTTAAATTACATTGTATAAATCTCATACTTGAGGAAGATTTGTTGGACTTTCTTCTTTTCTCATTTGTAAATCAATCCAATTTTTTATTTATTAAATTAGTTATATTAATTTATTTCTTTTATTTATAGGGGTAAGAAAAGAAGTTTGCAAAGTGGTAATACCGTAATAGTTTGCCCCAAAGGGGTGTCAGGTTAGGTGTGTGAGCATATATCCATTAATGTGTATCCAACTATTAGCTTAGGCTTTTAGTTGAGATGGAGCACATGCTTCAATTTGGTATCAGAGTCAGACCAAATGTCATGGATTCGAATCTCAACGCCACTCGTAAGCGACAACGGTTTACCGGTTCACGTGTTGGTTGGAATCCACCGTACACGTGAGGGGGCGATTTTGATTGCATATAAAAAAGTCACAAGTTTGATTCTTATCAATACTTTCTTAGTTAAGCCCGTCACACAAGTCTTCTTAGTATAGTTTAAATATCATGTGTAGTTATTCTCTCGGTTGCGTCCGTCATACAAGATTTTCCTAGTACGATTTATATTTCCCGTATGATTTGCGAGCTACTATATAAAAGTAGAGTTTATACCGTACACATCCCTAAGTAGTAACAGATGGTTTTTACCATTATCACAACCAAAAAAAGAGAAAAAGGAAAAAAGAAGAAGCAGATTTGCATGAATGAATTCAAATAGAGCAACACAGAATCAAAGAAACACAAATAATAATTGTTGGGTCCAGTATATTAAATTCAAATCCGCCAGTACAAGAATGGGCAATAGACAATTGTCACACTATCAAGTCAAAAATGTTCAGCTAAATAATAATAATAATAGACTTTGAACTATTTTTATTTATTTTTCAAAAGGTAATCATATATTACTTATAAGTGTGAATCATATTTTATTTATTTTTCAAAAGGTAATCATATATTACTTATAAGTGTGAATCATATTTTAAAGGTAATCATATTTCATAGTTTATTTAATGGGATTTAAGGTCACTATAATAATGCAAAATCTTCAAACTTAGTTTATAGTATAGGGTATCACATTTCCCTCGCATTCCTAAATTATCTAAAAGTCTCATAAACGTTAGTACGTTACATTACCTCAAAATATTCATTGAACCAAACATTCACTAGGGTAATTTCACATTTTGTAAACAAATTCCGATGAGTAACAATATAGTTTCCTTTTACATTTACTTTATAATATTCACATTTTAATATGACGATGTTTGATTATTATTTTTTATTTACCTTTTGATATGACACTATTTGCATATTTTATATTACATTAATATTTTTTTAACCCATGGTGATGTCAAACCATTTATGAGCATGAAATTAATATAATAGAGAGTTTTATTGTGACTTTGAGAGGTCTGAATATAAATTTAAGAAAAATAATATGAAGTGCTCCGAAATGCGTGATTAGGTAAGTAAAACATGATTATCGAATTTGAAGATCATGAGCATGTCGTCGCACATGGTTTTGGATCACTATATGGTTTGTAGGCTATTACAGTCATGCATCAATACATTCTTAGCATTTGTCAAACATTAGTTATAAAAAGAGGTTGTTAGATCAATCTCAATAGGACTAGTTTTTCTTTTTGAGTGATTTTTGAGGTGTCAATTAGGAGAGAGAGGAGGGAGAGAAGAATGAAAAAGAGGGGGAAAAATAAAAATAAAAAGCAGGTCTGACGCAAAAAGGAAAAAAAAAAGAAGCAGTTAACGTGACAACCCGCGCGTGCAGCAGTGCAGCGCCCGGTTGTGCCTCTCTTCTCCACTTTCTCTCTCCTGCAGGACCCACAAAAAAACCAACCTCTTGCAGGCAGACCCAAATCTTCTATCTCCTCCCTCTCTTTCCTCCACATAAGCTATGTTTTCCTCAAAAACTAAGCACAAACCACTGTTGTGGTTGCTCTTATCCCATCATTCTCTCTCTATATATATATACTTCATTGTTACATACTAATAAAACAAGACATTCAAATATATATTTTTAATGTAAAATTGTTAGAGTTGATCAACAAGCATATTTACAGGGGTATAATTGGATTGAAATACAATGTTCAAAGTCCAATTCACCAATGAGCCAAAGTCAATCATTTTTAATGTCAGTTAAGCAGATTTTGAATAAGTTTGGTTCATTTACACCCCTAAATACATAGAATACTTAATACTTACAATAGAGCTTCATGTAGGGGTATAAATTGTCACAAAAACATTACTTTAGGAGCATGTTTCGACTCCAACCCAGGAACTAAGCAGGCAGAATAAGTAAAAAAATGGAATAACCGAAGAAAAGTAAACAACTAGTTCACGAAACAAAACTACTCACCATAAAAGAAAAGATAAGAAATTGTTAATCAGATTGGAAGTGAGTTTTACAGACCTTGTCTTTGCCCTCATCTTCAAGAGTAACCATGCTAGTATTCAAGAGGATGCCTTCAAAGAAGACATTGTTCAACGCCATTTGAGCGACCTTGAAGGCCCTGGAATTCCATGCTCATCATAATATACAAGGCTCCAGGATGGGGGATAAACCATTGTCCTACAATAATAGACACAAAAGCTCTAGCTGACTCTCATTTGACTAGAATAAGAAACAGTTTATTCTTATGATGTTTTATTGTATTCAAAGTCATTTGGGAACTGGGAAGTGGCAGCATAGTGAGCAAGACCACCCCATGCTGCTTCCTTAACTGCAAGTGTAGAGGGACCAATGGGAAGGAGATTTTTTGTCGACTAGGGTCACAAGACGGGATTTACACACTTTCGGGTAATAGCTGTTGGTTTCCCACGTCACCGAAAAAAAAAGAACCCATCTTGTGGTTCCGAATGCTCACCATACATGCCTTTGAGTATGCAGAGAAAGAATGAAAAGAACCCATCTTGGAACCACATTCTATAACTTCAAAAAGAGGAGAAAGGTCGACCTCAGTAGGCCTTCTTGATTTGAGCTAGTTACGGGCAACTTAGGTTCTGGTCCTTTACCTGCTAGGGTTACAAAATTGGATTTACCCAACCCACATCCTCGGATAGTGGTTATGAGTTTCCCTTGTCACTCAAACAACGAGGAGAAAGGCGGGCACCTAGATGGTAGTAAGCAGCATAGCAGGAACCAAGGCCATAATCAAGACCTTGAAACCAAGATTCATTATATTGTTTGAACCAGCCAAGAGAACTGGACCCTGTAGTTTTCCATCATCATCCAGCAATAAGCATTATTAGCAGAATTCATCTCTCTCCAAGAGAACCAGACCCTGCTGAATGAGTACAAGTAAGCATCAACCATTTTTTTGCCATCTAGTGGACTGATAGAGTGTCTCCTCAAAGAGGATAACACCAGAAATGTATTAACAAGTAGACCATGGCCAAAGATTCCACTCCCAGGTGATGAAACAGTATTCTGAAGTAGCCCAAATAATGGATGCATAATAAGCCTATTCAAGATCATTGTTTATTCAATAACATAATTAGAAAAATTTCATAATCTGTTAAATCATTTGGGATCAGAGCTCATCATGACTAATTTACAGTATATATATTCGTGGATTTATAAGAACTGCCGGCTAAAACCATAAAAATGCAATCTTGAAATTGAAATCGTAGTACTCAAACACAAATAAAGAATTCCAAAACAAACATAAATATATACTAACCAGACCGGAAACATACTGCCAATCAAGCTCTTCAAGATAAGAACTAGCAGGAGCAGTGAGCCCTGGGAAGATCAATAGATCATCCATCAGCTTCATCGCCATTAAAAGAGCTTCCAAGTTCAAAGCCGACATATATACAGTGATGAAAGTGGTGACAGAGTGGCGTAAAGGTGCGGTTTTGGGTGAAGATATTGGGGGAGGGTGGACAAGAATTATGCGATTCATTGAGGAATATATTTGATATCTTCTTTGTTTTTTTGAGAAGAAATGTACTGGAACAATTCGATTCTATTACAAGATAATATCTGTTATATACTTTTTATTTTTTTATGATTGTTTTAAAAGAGAAGTCACAGAGATGCATCTGAACATAAAATTTAGTAATTATTCAACTAAAGTTTAATTTAACTCTGATATCAAATTAAAATATGTATTTTATCTCAACTAAAAACTTAACTGATAGTTAAATTAATGGCTATATGCTTAACAATTACAAGTTTTTCTCGTTTATACGAGAAAAAAAGGTGAGCGTGGTGTGATTTGGTTGGCTAAGATGGTCGGTTCAGTCAAAGGAAAGTGGTTCGATTCGTGGGAACGGAGCAAACTTTTTCCAAAATTTTTTTTTTGACTTTCACCAGTCGCCAGTAGTCGGCTGCATTTATTGGTCACAACTTTTAATACCCGTGCCCTTTCAGCCTTTCTTTCGTCTCAAACTTTTTTTGCTAGGTGTGCCCCTTCAAACGACGCCGTTGCAGGGCGGTCAATGATCTGGCAACTCCATAAAGAACACGGAACCAACGCAATTCACAACAATCTAGGTTTTCTGACACCTCTCCGATTTCTCTTCCAGCTGGGAGCGGTGCGGGTTGCGTGCAAGGAGGAGGAGAGCTCAAAGTCAAGCCTTGTTGACCGCGATACGGTTGGTACACCGGGATTCTAGGGTTCGGAACTGAATCTCTGTCCGGGGATATGGATACCTTGCAGCCGGCGGCGGCGGCGGTGGTGGTGGCCGGCGATGCTGTGGTCGTTGGAGGAGACGCGGCGGCGGCGGCGTCTGCTGTTGCTGTGGGAGTCGCGAGGACTTCCGGCGGCTCGGAGAAGCGGAAGCGTGGCCGGCCGCCGCGGGGGCAGGTTACGCCGAAGCCTCAACCACCGAGGAAGGTATTGGAGGAGGAGGACGTTTGCTTTATATGCTTCGATGGCGGCTCTCTCGTGCTGTGCGATCGCAAGTGAGTGGAGCTTGTAGTTGTAGTCTTCTGTATTTAGTCTTGTTTCTTCGTCTAATTCAGGGCTTGGTACCACCATTTTCTGCCCTAAATTAGCACGGAGGATGGTTTTTACAGTCTGGTTTTCCCCCAACTTATACCAAATTGTCTTGTTTCTGGTTAGGGGCTGCCCAAAAGCATACCATCCGTCTTGTATTAAGCGGGACGAGTCATATTTCTCCTCTAAGGCTAAGTGGAATTGCGGTATGCCGTCATTTCTCACATCCGCTTCACTTATATGCATTGATTTTGCCATTTCTAATGCATTTTATTGCTAAACTTTCAATCTTTGTGGTTTGAAGTATTTCGACTCATGGAGCTTGAATGCTTGATAGCTGTTATTAGGATGGACCCTTCAGGTGTTGTAACAACTAACACTAGTGTGATGATACTGGGTTCCGCTGCCATTCTTTTTTTGAGTTATTTCTTCGGGATTTCAGCTATGTGTGCCCCAATTAACTTTCATTGATCTATCTAGTTGTTGATGTTGTTCTTTTAGCTCTCCTCAATCCTTTTCTAGGGTTAAAATATTGTTACCATAGAAAGGGATTGAGGAGAGCTAAAAGAACGACATAAACAGCTAGATAGATCAATGATAGATCGTAGATAGGTTAATTAGGGCTTACGTAGCTCAAATTCTGAAGAAATAAATTAAAGAAGATTGGCAGTGGAAACCGGTGTCATCACACTAGTGTCAGTTGATTAACCATTTTGTGTTTTAATAAATTTAGTGATGCATGAGTGCATGACGGCTGTTGTTTTGTGCTTCCCAATCATGAGCCAATTTGCTTAATGAACCATAAGCCATTTGATATATCTCAATAGCCTGAAGTGGCCACCCGTTTTTTGTTCTTTGGTCAGATGTCTTTCTATAATGGATTATTGCCTGATCTTTCACTTAAGAATTGTAGTTTTGTGTGGGTTAAGAAATTGATATTACTGCTACTTTTAGGTTGGCATATATGCAGTGTGTGTCAGAAGGCTTCACACTATATGTGCTACACTTGTACATATTCATTGTGCAAGGGTTGCACTAAAAATGCTGATTACGCGTGTGTTAGAGGAAACAAAGGATTTTGCTCTATGTGCATGAAAACTATCATGCTGATTGAAAATAAAGATGAAGCGAATAAGGAGAAGGTATGCACACTTTTCCCTTTTATCTGAGCACATCATGATGGTTTCTGCTCTACGTGCATGAAAATTGTTCCCGTTCTCTGAGTATGTTATAAATCGCAGGCTGGATAGGTCCACCACAGAAACAGTTTTTAACTGCTTTATTATGCATATATGATTCACAATGATATGTTAATGTTTGATTATGAAAATAGCATGTTCATGCATGCTATTTTGAAGCTTACAATCATGATTGTCACGTGGTCGCTCCGTCGCTTAAGCGATTAAGCAAATGCGGGCAATGAGATTGTGCTCCACTTCAGTGTATTGCTGAAATGTATGGAAGTGGACCAAAGCGATTGCTTCACTCCAAAGCAAGCAATGCAGAAAGTGCAACCCTAAATGTGGGTACAAAACACCTTATCCCAGCTGCAATGACACTGCCAAGCCTGAGAATTGCATATGGTCAAACTTCAAAGCCTCTGATATATACTTATAGGCAGCCAACAATCTTGCAGTTCCCTAGAATTGCCTCATCCTTTATTGATCTCTCAAGCCTACAAATTGCAAGTGTGTTTTTCTTCTTCTTCTTCTTTTGCCGAATTGGCGAATTGTTTATTACTCCCCTTTTTTTTGGGTGGGTGGAGGAAGAAGACACCAACAATTGGGGAAGAAGAAGATGACACTCAACTCTTCCTGTTTAATCATACTTTCTCTCACATGCTCTTCTCTCTTTGGGCACTAAGCAAGATCTTTTTATCCCTTTTTTTTTCTACCTCTAGAAGTAAATCTTAATTAATAAATACTCTATGTATTTAATTAACTTGGGCAGTGGGATTCCCTAAGCTCTAAGCAATGCTGTTTTTTTTAATACATTAAACCTTAATTAATTGATGTATTATCCTTAATTAATTAATAATTAATTAATGCATTCAATATGATGCTTGTGATGAGATAAATGCAAATGATGGATGGATAATGGAATATTATGGTAATAAATAATTTTATTATGTTAATGAATTTATACATTGATTATTAAGGATGCTAATGAAAATATACATCAGTGATTAATGGAGCAATATGCTTGTATTGTTATATAATGATGATGCCAATTATAATATGTTATAAAAATTGATTACAAATCATTTATGTATCATTCTAGATTATAAAATTTAATTTTGCCAGTTTGTGTTGCTTTAAATACAAAAGCAATGCTTCGCTTTGCGCTTTAAAGCGGAGGTAGAGCCTCGTTGCTTTGGTGCATTTTTCGCTTTAAAAAACCTTGCTTACAATCACATAAATGCATATTCTAATGCCATAGATTACAATTTACACATGTTGCATCAATTTAGTTAACATTGGTCCCCTAGTTCCGTCTCAAGTCACCATGGTTCTTAAATTTGGAATAGCATCATGAGTGAAACAAAAGGTCTTTGGATACTCTCTAGAGTGGATATAAGTTAAAAGGTCTATGAATATCAAAGTTTTCACCATTTCACCAGGAAGTCTACTATTCTTGATTTATTAAGAAAACGGGTCAATGACTGAAATGGGCAACTTTCATTAGGTAATGAAAAAAATAGGAAGTTTTTTTAAAAATGTACAATATTGGGAAAAACTCATTTGGGACGTGTTTCTTGTGAGAAACGCAAGTCACAAATGAGTTTCTTAAAAATTCATTTCTTTTTCGCTAAAATACAAGAAACGCTTGTCGGATATGCGTGTTTTTAGTATAAATACAAGAAACGACGATGATTGACCAAATGCGTTTCTCGTATTTTAGCGAAGAAACTCATTTGCGACAGAGTTTTTCCCAACATTGTACATTTTAAAAAAGCTTTCTATTTTTGTCATTGCCTTTTCTTTCCTTCCCATTTCAGTCATTTGCCCTTAAGAAAACCCATGTGAGTTTGGAATGGAAATTATTGGGGTGGTACAACATATTTAGCACAAGGACTATCAAGTAAGTACCAATGGGAGGCTACACATTTGTTTGGGTACCTTTCGACCTTGGAGGAAGAATGGACTCAAAACTTCCTCATGATTTCCTAGCATAAAGGAGTTAGGTATCATGCTCATATAACTAGACTAGTCCATCTTAGATAAATTTGCTCTCTCTGGTGATCATGGCCCTAATCAAACAACCAAGTCACTCTTCTTCACTCAATGCAACTCTTATCTTCTCTTGAACTATTTGACCTTTGGAAATTGCTCAATTAACTAAGGCTCCTTTTGGGTGAGCGGTGAGATTAGAGTGGTTAGAACGATGATAGTCAAATTGGAGTGGTGATTAAATTGGAACTGTAGAGGTTAGAGTGGTTAGAATTGTGAAAATGGTGTTAGTTTAAAAAGAATGATGATAGCGGTGAGATTGAAATGCTAAATGACCGATAAGGACATTCATATAAAATTATTTTTAACACTCATCCATTAAATTTTATTTGAACATTTTAAAAAATATTTATTTAATTATTTCCATAAATAATAACTTCATTATTATATTAATTAAGTCATTAAGTCATCAGTTTTAATAAAACTATATATATTTTTTTTTTAAAAAAAGAGAAAAAATTGCAGCAAAAATGGGCGATGTGAGAAGTTCACATCACCCATTTTTGCTAAAGGGAGCTTTATGATCCCAAATTCAGTTGTCAATTAGTGCCACTGCAGCACTCAAGTTTCCAGCATCACATTGGAGATCAAAGAGAGTGACCAATTATTATTTTTATTTTTTAATTAATGTTATGGGGGTGTTTTGGAGAAAATTCCTCCAAACGCCCCTGATTGTTAAGGGTCCAGTGGGACAATTACCATAGACAGTCACAACTTTGTGTTTGATTGCCCCAGACACAAAGTGTCCAAACATCCCTTTTCTGGTATTTGGAGCAAAGTAACACTTCTACTGCTCCAAAAGTTGTCCCAAATGAGGTCTAAGGAAGTTATCCCAGTCAGCTCTCACCCTTAAATTTGAGGGTATAGTTTTTACCAGACAACTTGTATTATTAGCACTTTTTGCTATATCGCTTCTGATGAAACCAAAGATAAAACAATCAGTTTTCGAGTGCTTTGTTCGATCAAATCTGTTCTGATCAATTGCTATGCTTCATCACTTAAAGAGCTAAAGGACTCTCTTTTGACTAGTGTGTGAGAGAGAGAGGGGTTAGGGTTATTTTCTTTATTTTGTTTGAAGGATTGCATTTTAAGGATTTTCCCAAGCATGACTACCATACATTACCATATTTTCTTTCCTCTGGTATGAATTTTAGCAGTCTGTTACTTATTCTTAGGGCTTGTTTGGAAATCCGGAAAATGGCTCCTGGAAGTCATTTTCCGAATTTTTCAGTGTTTGGCTATGCATGAAAAATGAAATCAACATAAAAGACTCATTTTGGTAGAAAATGTCTTCCGACATTTTTACTCAGGCAACATTATCTGGATCTCTCCTACACTCACCTTTCTCTCTTTCCCTCACTTTAATTGTTTTCAATCGAGCGGGCTGGTCAACCACCTGCCCAGTTGCTATTTGGACTGGACCAAGTTGGCCCGGTTAAAATTCAATTAGGGTGGCGAGGCTAAACAATAAAATTCTTGTCCCCGCCCATAGCCCGTTTTTAGAAGTTAAGTTTTGTTTTTGTTTTTGTTTTTGGTTTTTTTTTTTTCCTTCCAATTTTTGTAGTTCATTTCATCATTTGGCTCGGGATAGGCCAGTCCAAACAACAAAAATCCGACCCTTACTTGGCTTGTTTATATAAATTTTAATTTATAACTTCATTTTGATATAAATAAAATCATACTATAAGTTGGAGTAGGAGAGTTTATTGGTTATGTTAGAACATGGAACTTTATTCTGTTACAATTATTATTATCATTATTAAAAAAATTAATATTTTTTCTTGACTTTTAGCCAAATACCAGAGGTTGAAAATATTTTCTTGAAATGAGTTGTTTTCTTGAAAATATTTTTCAGAAAGCATTTTTCAAGTTTCCAAATGGACTCTTATTTCAGTTAGTTTTCCCAAAATTACTCTTTATGGATATTGCCAGCCTTTAGATAAGATGTTAAAGAAGAAAAATATACAGATTTTTTAATTAGTGTTTTTGTGTGTGTTATAGGCAACTTTATGTGATACTATCATGCATTCATTGGTTTTATTCCATCACAAAGTGGAAATGAGGTTTTATTTAGTGCTTCCATTTATCATGTATCAATTTATGCAGGTTCAAGTAGACTTTGATGACATAACTACATGGGAGTATCTTTTCAAAGTATACTGGATTGATTTAAAAGGAAAGCTATCATTAACTTTAAATGAGCTTATTCAAGCCAAACGTCTTGTCAATGAAGCATCTATTGGCTCAGTGGTTGGTGGTCGGGTAGATCTGGCAGAGGTTAGAGGCGGATCTGAAACTGCAATTGCACCTCTTTCCACGGAGAATGTAACATCTGCTGATAATAGTGAAACAGAAAAGATTTGGTATTACCGTGATCCTACTGGTAAAATACAGGGACCATTTTCAATGAGTCAATTGAGGGGGTGGAGTAATGGAGGATTCTTCCCACCTGATCTGAAGGTATGGAAAAATGATGAACATGATCAATCAGTACTTTTAACTGATGTATTGCATCAACTGTCCCAAAAATCTTCTCAAATCACGGGTAATGTAGCAGTCCAGTCTTCGGGGCTTGGAGCAGTGTCAGATAACAAAGGCAGTTTTGGAGCAGTGTCAGATAACAAAGGCAGTTTTGGAGCAGTGTCAGATAACAAAGACAGTTTTGGAGCAGTGTCAGATAACAAAGGCAGTTTTGGGTTGCATGACAGTTCTAGTGGAACAGTGAGTGAAAGTAAACAGACAAAAATCCTCCTGCCTCAAGGTGCTGAAAAGGTCTGTTCGAATGTTAGCAATGAAAATGTACGGACGCATGAGTCAGGTACCCATTCTTTCTTGGATTTGTTGAAGGGTAATACTTCTCTTTCTGACAAATCCCAAGAACATAGCCCGCTTCATTTATCCAGTCAAGTAAAGATGCATGTAGGTGTCACACCGCTTGAAAAAGGCTTCGAAGGTGGTAGATTTCATTCTTTTTCAGGGCACGGAAATCAGAACTCATGTGGAAGCATTCAGGTAACTGTAGTTCAGGGCCATGAGATGCACTCTAATTCTAAGAGCTGTGCGGTTCAATCATCTGGACAAAACTGGGAATCCTTACCAATAACAACTTCAAAACCTATGCACTCTGTCACTCATTTTGCTTCAGTTCCCAAAACTGAACCGCCTGAGCAGAATGGCAGAATGAATTTCACAGCTCTCCTCAACCATACACCAAAGGGAAGTGATAAGAGCTGGGAAGTTCAAGCTGCAGAAGAATTGCTTTCCTTGTCTTCAGGTTTTCCTATTCAACGTTCTAATATTATCCGTGATGTGTCGAGTCCTTCACCGAGTGGCGAAGATATGTGTGGTCGGACAACAGAAACCAAGGAACACTCAACTTCAAATGTTCCTGTTCAAGACTCTGGCAGAAGCTGGAGCAGTGCTTCTAGTCTAGTTATTAATGAATGGGATTCCGGTCTAGTCTCTAATCCACCACTGAAAACAGTGGGTGATCATGTTGCCACTCCTACTTCAAATACCGACCATCTTACTACTTCCTCTCCACCTCATCTTATCACAAATGTATCCAACTGGCAGCCAATTGAGTTCACTACTCTGGATGAGGAATCAGTATCTGATCTGTTAGCTGAAGTGGATGCTCTGGAATCTCAAAGTGGCTTGGGCTCACCAGCTTCAGCCTTGAGATGCAGCAAGGAAACAATACCAAGGTGCAAGAATGAATACTTCAACTTCTTCGAGGAGCTAAACCCTATGCCTGATCCTGCAAAAAACGTCCCCCTTGGTTCACTCCATCATGACAGATGAAGTGCATGTGGAGGTCAACTGATGCTTTTGATCCTTTAAAGAGGTCTGGGAATAACTTTTGTGTACAAGCAGTGAGGGAGAAAGATAACCACCCTGGGAATCCAGCCAATAGAGAGAGGGTGGTGTAGAGAGATGTATCCTGGTCCGTCCAAGAGACTGCACTTCTCAAAGAGGAGTTGTACCTTTGTGCAGTATGAAGTGATTTAGATGCTATTCAACTATCTTCTACTACCTACCTCCATGAAGGAACAATTCATCAACAATTGCTTTTAGATTTCTGGGCACAATCTATTTTTTGAGAGTAAGTTGTTGTTCTTGTAACTAATGTTGTAATTGTATTTAACTGGAAAAATGTGCAGCTAGCTATGTGGGGCATAAAGCAACAATTTTCTGGAAATAATTTTGCTGGTTGACTTGGTGGGGGGATAGGGAAGCAGTGCCCCTTTATGTCCATTTAGCAGATATGTCTGTAAGACTGTAACCTTGGAAGACTTTATGTATTAATGATGGTGTGCATGTATATGGAACAGGATATGTATTCTTTGTATGATACTGGAGATGTATTCTTTCCATGTTGAAAGGTTCACTGTGTTTGTGCTGCCGCTCTTGACTCTTCTTCTTCTTTGGGTACCTAAAAGACAATTGTGAGTAAAATGCTTTTGTTAAAACTCAAGGTGATATATGTCAGCAAAGAATGAACATTATACAGATGATAGAGGCGTGAAGTCGCTTTCCTCTCTATCTTGTGTGGTGATATTGTTGGTCAGGTTGGATAGAAAATGATCCATGATAGGGAGAGAGAGTTATGGTAGTGATTATGAGAATGAGCAATTAAATTGGCCGAACGTGGCACTAAACTAAGAGAATAATGAATTAGACTATTGGCTTGGTAATCACAAAGTTTAAAGTTTAACTTTTAGTGTGAGCAGTTTATTGTCCTTTTTGGTTTGTACTGGTCAATTATGGATAACTTAACATAGTTTATCTACTTGTGGTCCCTTGTTGGCAAGGTTACAAGGTGGGGGTTTTCCTCATTTTCTAAGAAAAAAAATTATCATTTTGATGGTAAAAATTGAATCGACAATAAGGTCTTATTTCTTTGTTACTATTGATCAAGATAGTAAAGATAGGAGAGAGCAAAGAGTTTTTTTTTTTTTTTTTTTTTTTTTAACTATTTATAGAGTAAGTTATTTATCAGTGTATAAGTGAGATGAGCATAAATTAATGAAGGCAGATGTGCGGTTAGAGTCAATAACGCCCCCACTAAAGCTCAAACTCACAACCTCTCATATAAGAGTTTAACCCAGATGTCATATGAGCACAAGATGCTTGGCGCGATATACCTTTACAATTATAAATTAAATTTTGATTCATTTTAATGACTCTAATTTCACCTTATTCTCAAATCGAGCCAAAGTCTTTGTAACATCACCACAACTTATAAATCGGCTGCCGAAATCTACAGTGGGCTTTCGGTTTTCATACGAAAAAAAAATCTCAAAATCAGAATAACAGAACAGGACACACCGCCACAGGAAAATCCTAATTCTACATTTCTATCAGCGAGAGAGAGAGAGAGAGACAGCGGAGGAGAGGGGTGGTGATGGGTGAAGACAAATTGGACCAGCCCGGCGGAGACGAGACAATAATACCGACGACTAACCGACGCATCGGCGGCGAAGGCGGTGAAAACGACGCCGTAAACCTAGTCAAAGACGGCGGAGTTGAAGGATCAGCTTCTTCTTCTTCTTCTTCTTCCGATGCCCCATCATTGCAATCGCCGTCTTCCAAGAACAAAGGAAAATCGTGCAAAGGATGTTTGTATTATTCCTCAACCCTCAAGTCCAAGTCTCGCAATCCCCTCTGCGTGGGCATCACTCGTTCCTTTCCCCAAGGTAAGTTTCGTTTGATTGTCTGTTTATTATTGATTGCAACTTGCTCTTTTTATTCGTCCAATTTTACCATTTCCGATCGTTTAGATCATTTCGCTATTGGTTTTATTCGGTATTTGTAGTAAATGAATTACAGCGCAATTGTTTAGTTTATAAGTTCTGGTTTTCATCTACTGTTTAATGCCTAAATGTCAGCTTTGAGGTGATGTACACTGTTTCTGAGGTCTGGGCTTTGTTTCTTGATGTCCTTTTGCTAAACCTTCAAACTTGGTTTGCCTTTAGTTGGATAAGAATTGTAAATGTTTGCGGGTAGCTCATATGGTTCCTGGGTGGTAAATGGTGGGCTCCTTGTGGCACCAGGATTTGCTCCTCTTACCTAATGGGCTGCTGAGTAACCGTGATTTAACCCTCCATGTTAGGCCGGGATGTGGCGGCATGGGGTGAGGGAATTTTGCCTCGTGGGCAAGAATTGTAAAAGTTTTTAATTGGATGAATGGTTATAATGGCTTACTGAAATTGGCATGCTGGGCAATGTTGATTTATCATTACAAGATATTAAGCCAAAGAGACTTGTTAATTTTTGATATCAGATTGTGAGAACCTTTTATTTTTCCTATAATAAGGAAATGTGAAAGAGGACCTCTGGGCTTAATCTGCCAGGTTTCTTGAACTAGGATTCTCCTTAGTTGCCTGGTATTTATTTGCTACTTGCCTGTTTGTAAGTTTATATTTTATTGCTGTTTGCTAATACATTTCCACATTGGATGACCAGTACCTCGATACATTGTTGGAGAATCAGAGGCAGAAGCTTCTAAAGAGGGCAGGAGTCTTACGGATTTCAGATATGCTTGCATTGGTTATTCTGTTTACTCGGATCAAAATTCTCATCCAACTGATGGGCAAGAAACACAAACTGAATTACCAGCCTGTGTTGGCCTTGAGGTTAGCATTTTCTGCTCCTTTTCTATCTCATTCCTGGCTACATGTGACGTTTAATGAAGTGATGTGCTCATGTACATCATTTCTTCAAAAGCATTGCTTGTTTACATGATATCAGTTATGATCATTGCTGGTATAACTCTCATGCTTGATTTTCTGTATAGGAACTAATCATGTACTCCATTAGACAATATTTATCTATGATGCACGGAAGTGTTTACCCGTTTTGTAAATGTCTCCTAACAAGAATTTCGATAACTCCATAAAACGCTTCAAGATCGTTTCCGTAACTTTAAAAATAAAAAATAGAAACACAGATACTGGTAAACAATTAATATCTATGCATATTTAAAGAAAAAGTATTTTCAAATACACACTTGTATAATTGTATTTTATATATTTTAATTTTTTAAACATTTCCATGGTGTTTTTATCATGCAATGCTCGTTTTCCATTTCCATGCTACCTAGATAATTATAAAATACTTTTCTTGGCTGGCTTATTCTTGTTTCATGTATTCATTTTTTTGCCTGTGGGCCCTTAATTTTTGCTTCCTGTTCCTCAAGTTTCCTCTTTCTAACATTATTAAGCCTTTGCACAGATTCTACTTGATAAAAGAACTGTTCCAGCGAGTCATGTTCCTAATCCTCCTGTCCATGCTCATAATCGGGAAGGTATATCTTATGTCACCCAATATATTATGGGTCGAGTGGTTTCCCACTGGACTTGATTAGTTTTAGCAACCTAAACTCACAAGAAAAAGGGTACCTTTAATCTATCGACTGTTCTAATTTTATAGCTTTATGATGGAAAATATGCAGTAGTTACTCCCTGGATAGGGTCTAGATTGAGATTGAATACTATTTATATGCACAACTGGGTAATTGACCTCAGGATTTTATAATTTAGAGTGGGGTTAAGGTTTTCACCTTTTGGATTTATGTTGTGACTCTTTCCTTCCAATATAAGTATATAACAGCAGTATTTTGTGACAAAAAATTGTCAACTGTTGTTATGGTCATCTAAATTAGGTAGTTGAAGAAACAGTTTTCACTGCATTTGTTCTGATCTTTTTATGGATTATGAAGTTTACCAGACCACCACCACCCCCCACCCCCCCTAAAAAAAATCAATTTAGAGCATCCACACTAAGGGGAGAATATGGAGATATTTCAGAAATAAATCACTCAAGCCAAAAATAATACTGATGTGGGAGTGAGTTATTTGAAAAAGAATCACTCTGCAAATGAAGGGTTAATGTCAGAATTAAAAAAAGGGGAGAATAACAAGGCAATGTTTCTTTATAGCGGGGCATGATTAGTTGTTTTCCCAAAACTTGGTCTGGGCCAGATTAGTGGAGGGCACTTCTGCATTCTTTTGCCAATGTTTCAATACTGGGGACTTTAGGGAGACATAATTGGTGATGTCATTTTGCTACTTGTTTGTGGTAGTGGCTTGTTTAAATTGGGCTCCATCCCGAGGTTCATTGAGTCTTTTGCAAATGACTTCGTTCAGAAGAGTCTGTTGGAAATTATTTAGTTATTCATTTTCTCAGTCGCCCATTTGTTATTTAGACATAAACTCCTTTTAGCCATCTTTAATGCAGCATTAATAATGTTTTCATTTTCATTTTCAAACTAAGAAGTGGTATTGTTTCTTGAAGATGGTCTTGGAACGCCTCAGCCTCGTCCTTACAAACCAGCTCACTCATCTGGGGATGAATTCCTGAGCAGGCAAGATATCTTGAAATCTGCATTAGATTACGGATATTTTCCAATTCCTTGTGCGTATCACAGACTTACGCTATGTTCTTCCAATATACAGGTTCTCTAGGAATGCAAACCTGGTTGCCATGGGGGTAGTCAAGAACTTGCGTAAAGTAGGGAACAGAATAAAGGAAAGCATTGATGACATCCTTTACCGACGGCCAAAATGAGATGCTGATTACCCAAATGGGAAGAAGTGGACTATAATGACAGTGATGCAAAAAACACTAAAACTTGACCGAATAATGTACCCATTGGCTTTGAACATTCTATAATTTTGTCCATTTATCCTATCATCTTTAGAGCATTGAACTGGGACATAGGCCGGAATGGGAAATGTTTTGTTGTTAGCTCTTAATTCAATGTTGATATTGTTACAGATACTGGAGGCAGATGCCACCAGATCTGCCTGTACGATCCATCCAAATTCTGCTCAATAGTTTCAAATGTTAAAAGTTTTGAAGTTAAATGCCCACAATGCCATTGATATTATTCTGTTCATATCTACAATCTCTGCAGCTTAAATACTGTACACAGAAGAGCCCAGAGGTAACACGACATGCATTTTTATTACTCGAAACTCATATTATCTGAGTGGTAAGATGTGACTGGTTCATGTTCACATTGAAGTGATTTTTGCCCATAATAAATGAACATTATAGATGTGTTGACTATGTAGCTACATTTTCTTGCCATAAAGACACAGATTCATGGTGTAGGTTAAGTTGTTGACTTATTTTGTGAGACGGTACATTTTAGGTTGCAAGGATGTGGATTTGATCGCACGCTTGTGGCAAAGTATGCCTGCCCTATTGTAGTACTATTATGATATGTGCTAATCTTATTACTGTTTTCAGTTCTGTGTTGCGTGGGAGCTCTTGCAACAACAGGGCTCTTCACTTTACGTTGACAATGACAGGCTAAATCTGGGTCTTTTTAAATGGGCATCCACTCGTCCGGACCAGCTTCCCTACATGGGTTACTTGCTCACTCTTGCTCGGTAAG